GTGAGAGGGTGGTTAGTCGAATAAAGTCAAGATGGCACAGAATAATTCAAGTTGTTTCCGTTTTAAATCGCTTCATTATCTTTACGATGGACCCGTAATTGTGTTATTTGAATTTTTTTTATAGTTTAAAGATACATTATGTAAGATTCCGATAAAGAGTGGCCGTTCTTGGTGTAATAGTTTAAAGATAAACGGCTGACTGTTCTGATAGAATACTCACTGTTCTTGGTGTAATAGTTAAAAGATAAACAGGTGACTGTTCTGATAGAATACTGACTGTTCTTGGTGTAATAGTTAAAAGATAAACAGGTGACTGTTCTGATAGAATACTGACTGTTCTTGGTGTAATAGTTAAAAGATAAACAGGTGACTGTTCTGATAGAATACTGACTGTTCTTGGTGTAATAGTTAAAAGATAAACAGGTGACTGTTCTGATAGAATACTGACTGTTCTTGGTGTAATAGCCTAAAGATAAACAGAGAGAGAGAGAAATGAAATGAAATGGGGTTTAACATCCTACTGTTCTGCTCCTATACTGGGCTAATGAAGACGGGCATACGCCATACAGTGTGCTATGAGGAAAATTTTGCCAGGGCAGCGGCACTATCGCCTACTCTTATATCGAATTCCAACTGCCAAGGGATCTTTTACGTGAATTCCAATGTATACACGGGACCTCGGTTTTTCGTCTCATCCGATGGACTAGACAGCTGTCCTTGTCAGGCCCTCCGTCCTGCATCACTGACAAGGGGGAACCACGCCGGAAAATCTGGATGAACTTTCTCGGCCAATGCAGGGATCGAACACCCGACCTCCAGGCTAGCGATCCAGCGTCTTAACCACCTAGCCAGAGAGAGAGAGAGAGAGAGAGAAAGAGGTCATTTCGGGACTAACATGTGGTTTTAATTTTATTTCAATAATTCGCTTGCGCGTAGGGGTCTTTAGCAGTGGGAGGAAACCGGAGGACCCGGAGAAAACCCACGAGGCTGGACAGACGACCCTACTCCTTGTCACGTACAACCGGGGATTCGAAACCACGCCAGTTGACTCAATGACAGGTCTTATGATACAGCACGCACGTGCTAACCATTCAGCCATCCAACCCCCCACAGATAAACAGATGACTGTTCTTGGTGTATAGTTCAAGAAGTATAAGCGTACCAGCAATTGAGAATGGCATCATTACAGCCATATTGGACCTGTGACGTCATGTGTCAGGAACACTCATGCCAAGTTTCACATCGATTATATATGAATAGTGGAGCCGTAGGCTATTTGCGAAGAGCGACGCCCTCAAGAACAACAAGATGGCCTAATTTCTTGTCCAAACCAATGAAACTGAATTGAAAATTTAAGTCAAATGGCTTTATTCTGAGAAAAGTTATAAATGTATGAAGTTTTGATAAGAAACAGAGTAAATGGTCTCGAGTGTTAAGTGTCATTGCTACGCCTAGTCTCTAATTTCCATTTTAACGTTTACGGAAGATAGTGCAGACATTTCCTAATCCACTTCATACCCAAGCCATCCGATGGTCTAGAGAGTTGGCTATGGGCTTTTCATGAGAATAAATGACTAATATTTGAGCCAGAAACAAGACCTGTACTAGGCAGTACACTATTCAGCTGGTCGTGTGTACGAGACAGTCCAGTCAAAACCATTAACAAATCATAGAACAAGCAATATATCAACGCTACTCATTAAGGCAATGGACGTGTGCTATGAGGGTAATTTTGCCCGGACAGTGGCGATTCCGTCTAATCATCATCGAATTATTTTATGTGTACGTCAGCTAGTACACGGGTGGACTTAGGTCTATTGTCTCTTCCGAACAACTAGACAGTTAAATACTGCACAGTATCAAGAAACAGAACGGTTAAATAGCGTTAGCAAACTACCAAACCCGAAATTGCTATTGTTTATATTTGTAGGCATATTGATGAATGACTTGAACTAAACGGCGTATAGGGGTGTGGTGATTGTATGCTACCAACGCACAAGTGACGTACAAGAGTGTGGGGATTGTATGATTCCATCACTCGAGTATAGAAGTGTAGTGATTGTACGCTCCCAACGCTCAAGTGCAGGGGTGTTGTGATTGTACGCTCCCAACGCTCAAGTGCAGGGGCTTGGTGATTATATGTTCTCAAGACTCAAGTACAGGGGCGTGGTGATTGTACGCTCCCAACACTCAAGTATAGGGGTGTGGTGATTATATGTTCTCAAGACTCAAATGTAGGGGTGTAGTGGGTGTATGTTCTCAGAACTCAAGTACAGGGCCCAGTACTCACAGATCCCAGAAAGGAAGGCAATCTGAATATGTAAAAATAATCATTCTTTTAGGAAAGGTAACAGTGATAATTTCAAATTTCATAAAACGTAATTTCGATTTCTCTCTTTGTTGATTTGATTCCCCCTACACCCATGCCCCTCTGAAACGACCCGGCCCCCAATCTGCACGCCACAGCCTTAACTGTAATACTATATAGCAATGGTCGCTGTGTATTACATCGACCTAGTTGAAAGATATATAAATAATATATACTCTTCACATGATACCCATGTATACATTAAATAATATATTAACTCTTTTCAATTCATTGATGTAATGGTTACAGATGCATTAATTTCAACCTGTATTATAGACAGGTGTTTGTCAACCTGAGTTATAGACAGGTGCATTAATGTCAACCTGAGTTATACGTAGGTTAACAACCTGCATTATAGGCAAGTGGATGACGAGGGGGGTAAAACACCACTGTGCTGGCGAAATCTCCTCCCATAGTACCCCGCATGGGGTATACCCATCTATATTAGCTCGGAAACGCCATTGTACGGACCGGACATAATTTCCCTCCTTGCACAATGCATAAAGAAATGAAATGAAATGAAATGGGGTTTAACGTCCTATTGTTCTGCTCCGAACTGGGCTAATGAAGACGGGCATACGCCATACAGTGTGCTATGAGGGAAATTTTGCCCGGGCAGCGGCGCTATGGCCTACTCTTATATCGAATTCCAACTGCCAAGGGATCTTTTACGTGCACGCCAATGTGTACACGGGACCTCGGTTTTTCGCCCCACCCGAATGACTAGACAGCTGTCCTGCATCACTGACAAAGTGGAATCATGCCGGAAAATCTGGATGAACTTTTCCGGCCCATGCAGGGATCGACCACACGACCTCCAGGCTAACGAGCCAGCGTCTTACCCACTTAGGCACTGTGATTTCGGACCAAACATAAATAAATAAATAAAAAACAAAAGCTTGAAAATAAACACCTTGTCGAATGTGAAACATTTTCATTTCAAAATATAAAAACAACCACAGAGAATTGCAGTTGAAAAACAACGATAGAAGAAAAACTAGAAGTCTGCTATCATTATAAAACTAGAGGTATGAATTATTAAAGTAGATGTACCTACCATTATAAAACTAGAGGTATGAATTATTAAAGTGGCTGTACCTACCATTATAAAACTAGAGGTATGAATTATTAAAGTGGCTGTACCTACCATTATAAAACTAGAGGTATGAATTATTAAAGTAGATGTGCCTACCATTATAAAACTAGAGGTATGAATTATTAAAGTAGATGTACCTACCATTATAAAACTAGAGGTATGAATTATTAAAGTAGATGTACCTACCATTATAAAACTAGAGGTATGAATTATTAAAGTGGCTGTACCTACCATTATAAAACTAGCGGTAAGAATATTTAAAGTAGCTGTACCTACCATTATAAAACTAGAGGTATGAATTATTAAAGTAGATGTACCTACCATTATAAAACTAGAGGTATGAATTATTAAAGTGGCTGTACCTACCATTATAAAACTAGCGGTAAGAATATTTAAAGTAGCTGTACCTACCATTATAAAACTAGAGGTATGAATTATTAAAGTAGATGTACCTATCATTATAAAACTAGCGGTATGAATTATTGAAGTAGATGTACCTATCATTATAAAACTAGCGGTAAGAATATTTAAAGTAGATGTACCTACCATTATAAAACTAGAGGTATGAATTATTAAAGTAGATGTACCTATCATTATAAAACTAGAAGTATGAATTATTAAAGTAGCTGTACCTACCATTATAAAACTAGAGGTATGAATTATTAAAGTAGATGTACCTACCATTATAAAACTAGAGGTATGAATTATTAAAGTAGATGTACCTATCATTATAAAACTAGAGGTATGAATCATTAAAGTAGCTGTACCTATCATTATAAAACTAGAGGTATGAATTATTAAAGTAGATGTACCTACCATTATAAAACTAGAGGTATGAATTATTAAAGTGGCTGTACCTACCATTGTAAAACTAGAGGTATGAATTATTAAAGTGGCTGTACCTACCATTATAAAACTAGAAGTATGAATTATTAAAGTAGCAGTACCTACCATTATACAACTAGAAGTATGAATTATTAAAGTAGCTGTACCTACCATTATAAAACTAGAGGTATGAATTATTAAAGTGGCTGTACCTACCATTATAAAACTAGAGGTATGAATTATTAAAGTAGCCGTACCTATCATTATAAAACTAGAGGTATGAATTATTAAAGTAGATGTACCTACCATTATAAAACTAGAGGTATGAATTATTAAAGTAGATGTACCTATCATTATAAAACTAGAGGTATGAATCATTAAAGTAGATGTACCTACCATTATAAAACTAGAGGTATGAATTATTAAAGTAGATGTACCTATCATTATAAAACTAGAGGTATGAATCATTAAAGTAGATGTACCTATCATTATAAAACTAGAGGTATGAATTATTAAAGTAGATGTACCTATCATTATAAAACTAGAGGTATGAATCATTAAAGTAGATGTACCTATCATTATAAAACTAGAGGTATGAATCATTAAAGTAGATGTACCTATCATTATAAAACTAGAGGTATGAATTATTAAAGTATATGTACCTACCATTATAAAACTAGAGGTATGAATTATTAAAGTAGATGTACCTACCATTAACTCGTAACATGATTAATCTTCTGACGCTCCGAGATTTAGAACTAATCTGACATTCGTAAACACCCTCGTCCTCAAACGTCACATCCCTTATATGTAAACTCCATTCCATTGAGTATTTTTCGTGAAGAACCCGGATTCTGTCGTCTGATACGTAGGTATTATCACCTATTGTTAAAGGATTGGGATCCGATGCACGTCGCCAAACCACCTGCAATAGAAATATACTTTTATAATATAATGTATGCAACCATTTTTTAATTGTATCAGCAATATTTTAAATCACTATGGATACATTTAACAATCTTTTACTGTACATAATAAAAATATTTAAATCCCATGACGTCACAAGATCATTAAAACAATCATTTGATAAAGGATCATTTAACCTGAAACGTTATAAAGATGAATAAACCGCTGTTGAGCAGGGTTTTTTTTTTAAAATATCTTCGAATATTATAATTATTCAGAGTTTTAAAAAGAAAAACAAACGAATCACAAAAACTAATACGAGCGCACTAATCGACTATGACGTCATCGCAGCCATCTAACATCCATGCGCAAAGAACACGTATGTCAGGTTAGGTGTCGATCATAGTCGAATTAGTTCAGCCTTAACAACAACAGTTTGATCAACACGACTGCTCATTCAGCTTCTTAGATAGAAATTATACAATTTAGAACATCAGGGTATGATCTTAAAATATATATTTAACCTTTATTCTAGTGCACTAGTGTGTACTAGTATCCATGGTGATGCGTATATATGCATCAACATCAACAAATTGTGTAGATTTCAACCAAGTGAGAAGCATTCTTGTGAAGAATAGGATTTAAATCTACTCCATGGTGAACAAATCAGACATTTCGTCGAGATAAAGCAATGTTTTGAAAATAAATACTATAGATACAATACCTGTTCGAATTGCTTTGTTCGGTTAATCAAAAGGAAGAATGCAAATTGGTGCTAAGAACAGAGACACCCTAGCCCCACCCAACCAGAAAAAAAACCAGGCAAACAAACAACAAATAAAAAAAACAAAAAAACAAAGATAACAACCCAACAGATAGACAGACGAAACGACCCCCCCCCCCCAAAAAAAAAGAAAACAAAACAAACTAAAAAAAAAAACAAAAAAAAAACCCAACGTAGACAAAATAAAATGATGTTTTTATGTCATCAGCAAATTCTTTTAGGAGAGTAGATGTAGAAGTCAAGGACAATTACTGTTCGTTTTAATATGTAAACAGAATGAAGTTTTAATTCGTTGGTTTATCTCTGTCGAGGGAAATCATAGTAACTAGTTGATATACAGTTGTCCAACCCCCTGCTCCCATACATCCAATAGATCTGAACAATTCCTGTCTTTATTATGAGTGCTCAGCGATGAAAAGGGCTCCCACGTGGATAAAAAAGATATTTTTTCTAAGTGAAACCCACAAGCCATTTACAGACAATGTTCTTTTCAGAGGTCGTTTTAGTGTAAGTACCAATTAAAAATGTATACCGTGTCAGAAAGCGTTGATCTGTCGAGAAATGGAAGCGGTAAAGATCACGGCAAACGAATAGATAATTGCGCTACCCGATATATTGCGAAGACTTTAATGGAAATCTTAGACAATCATCTCGTCCTAATGTATTGTCCTCCTCACGCCATTTCTCTTTTTTGCGAAAATGGTTTTGCTACTTAAATCTAGAATTCTTAACGATCGAATGTGCTCTAATTATTAAGATGGGAGCAGGCCTGTAACTAGGGAGAGGGGGGGGAGTAACCCCCCTGCAAAAAGTTCCCCTCCTGTGAAAAAATTGTCGACCATACATATACATTGTCCGTCAATTGTACAGCACCCCTGAGAATACTTCCCACCCCCTCGTTGCTCAGAACTAGATACGGCCCTGGATGGGAGCTAATAGTAAGTGCTGATGGACCGGATTACAAGCAAAACAAAGCGACAAGACAAACTTGCTGACAAAACAAACCGACAAGACAAACTTGCTGACAAGATAAACCGACAAAACAAACTTGCTGACAAAAAACAACAACATATAGCAAGTAACAAACAACAAATATCAACAAATATTAACAAGAAGCCATTTTTATTTATTTGAAATCCCTGATTTTCAGGTACAAAAACTGCCCGTACTTTCAGGAATCAGATTGTCCCCCGAAAACAGGGCGTGTGGTTCTAACTCGAGTACAAGCAAACATCTATATCAATATAGCCGTAGTGGCCAGAAATTAAAACAGACGAACCGGGATTACCCCCCCCCCCCCACACACACACACACAAATAACATACCCACGCCCCCAACCTCCAAATACCCGTCTACCTATCTTTATCCAGAAGTTGACATTCAAATAATTATTGTTCAGACCATACCAAGAATTCAGATACGACCGGATTCGTTCTCCTCCCTCGTCCAGCTTTCAACTAATGTTCAGATGATACCCGCATATGCAGATTTGGACTTAATAATTGTAATTTGGATCATTTTAATGAGGGCTATTTCAGATTGGTGGGTATCGGGAATTCCTGTTATTTCGTTACACAATTATCGCATTTGTTACTCTACAACTATAACCTCTTATGTAAAGATATCATTATTGTTACACATAATTATCCCATTTGTTACTATAACCTCTTATGTAGAGATATCATTATTGTTACATTATAATATATCATTATTATTATATCATTTGTTACTCTCCAATTATAACCTCTTATGTAAAGATATCATTATTGTTACACATAATTATCCCGACTTATGTAAAGCTATCATTATTGTTACCCATGAGGGGGTGGTAACCATAGTACTGGGTCCTGCTTGGGTGTTCATATCCACTAATGTATACTTTGTTTTCTTATATCCTGAGCAAATTACCTTTGTAGGTCTGTTATTCAATCTTTTTCAAATAAACGAGGACCTCATACCTCGAGTCAAACAGGTTCAATATGCTAACCCTTGATGGAAAACGACTGACTTCACATGGCGTTATACAAACAGACAAAAACATATGTCACGTAATTATTACGAGATCCCCAACAAAAACCACACCAGAAATAATTCGGGAATAAAAGAAAGTTTGTTGGTGATTATAATGAAGAGAGGAATTTATTGTTAATGGCGGTGAATCAACAGCTGTTTTATGAACAGATAGAATACATATGGTTAATTTCACTCTCATATCAACCCATTCGGTTCAATTAATACAAAAAAAAAAACACCGGTAAAGGCGGTGAATATGAGAAATATTGAAACAATGTATTTAAGTCCACGAATTGAGAAAGGTTATCATATTGAAAGCAAGACAAAATGTGTATTTGTAACCTTCAGAAGTCGACGAGTTCATCTAAAAAATGTGCATGCTCTTCAAGTCGACAAGTTCAAATAAAAATAACAAGCAACTAAACGATATTAAAGTACAGTTATCTGATGAAATCAATAGGATTCTTCCTCTGCTCATCGAGATAACATTTACAAATTTAAAAATAAAACAAAGATCGTGTAATAAGTGTTGTGAGTAAAATCACGAATTGTGGAAAAATGGGCGGAAAATATATGATTACATTTCATTGTGGGCGAATACAAATGGTTTTCCAGATATACGTACTGTAAATGACTATTGCACCATATGTAACAAAGTACTCTATAACTTTTATCAAATTGAACTTATTGACCTCCAGCCATGCTTCTTGATAATATTGACCTTTTAACTCTGTATGCACTGTTCTTAAGTCACGATTGTCTGTGTTGTAATTAAACATGTAATTAATTCAATATGTCCTTTGCAAACTACATGTGATCTGTGCACGCGTTCCGCTTACTTCAAAGGAATACGCACAGGGCCCTGTTTCTCGAAATTTTAACTAAAGATAAAATCCAATTTTAGTAGATACTTCAATTTTGATTGTCTAAGCACTAAACTCAATCCAATATTATCCAATCAAATTACTAAAATTTGGATTTTATCTTAGTTAAAATTTCATGAAACAGGCTCCTGGCCAGTAAACATGCCATGACGAGATAAAAGAGACAATTGCATGTATGACCATGTGTCCGAAGGTATATAACGAGGAGTTTGCTGACAGTTAAGCAGTCGACTAGAGACGACCACAGAGGGGCGGAGAAGAGAGGCTTGACCGAGTGCATGGACTCACCCGAGTTCAGCCACTGCCTTGGCAGAGGGGCAGAATGGTGGATTTAATATTGTTAGATGTGTTTCTGTCGTAGTCTAGTCCTCAATGTAGCCTAGTTCTAGTATAGTCTAGTTTATGTAGTATTGATGTAGTTGTGTTATATACGTGATGTAAATAAATCCTATATTTACTAAACTGATCTCTGTTATCACTAAGATAGTCTTACACATATTCATAATGAACATGCTCAACACGCAGTGTTTAAAAACGGTCATAATTGTCAAATGCTTATTTAAACCCAAGTCTGGATCTAACACAACAATATCCGAACAGTTCTTTATTAGTTGGGACTGAACAGGAGAAAGTGTTTTGACCAAAACAGACCTAGGCACTGAAATGAGGTCAATAAGCAGGACAAGAGAGGGAGAGAGAGAAATGGGGTTTAACATCCACTCGACACAAACTAGGTCATTTTGGGACTAACATATGGTTCAATTGTTGATTTCAAGAATTCGCTTGCGCGTAGGGGTCTTTAGCAGTGGGAGGAAACCGTAGGACCCAGAGAAAACCCACGCGGTTGGACAGGCGACCCTACTCCTTGTCACGTACAACCGGGGAATCGAAACCACGCCAGTTGACTCAATGACAGATCTCATGATACAACGCGCACGCGCTAACCATTCGGCCATCCAAGGAGGACAAAGTCGTGGTTATGTGAGCTTCTGTGTATAGGGGGCGTTGTTGTCGGGTACCTGTTTAGTTATAGTTCAGGACGTTAACCCTTATTTTATGCCTGTGAGTGACAGAGGAGCGAGTGGAGAGAGAAATAAAATGAAAAGAAATGGCGAATGAATGAAGACGGGCATACGCCATACAGTGTGCTATGAGGGAAATTTTGCCCGGGCAGCGGCACTATCGCCTACTCTTATTTCGTATTCCAAGGGTTCTTTTACATGCACGCCAACGTGTACATGGGACCTCGATTTTTCGTCCCACCCAAATGGCTAATATTCCGAATTTGTTGCTTTGTAAATTATGTATTGCTACTGTTATTGTAAAATTAACATAAAC